AGGGAGCCAACTGCAGGATCCCCACGCCAGGCCTGCCCCTGCAGCTCCCCCAAGACCCAGGTCACTGAGCCCAACTGGGCCGTACGTTCCTTCCTTGAAAAATAAGGGCTCAAGATGGGACTTGAATACACTTTTAGCTCTAAAATTCTCCAGTTGTTTTCCTTTCTTTAAAATTTTCTTTTTTCAAAGATAGACTCTTTCAAACATATACACAAATACAGAAATAGCATAATAAAATGCCATGTGTCCTTGATTTTTCTTCAGCCTCCCCATCCCCCCCCACCTTTCACTGAAGCAGAATCGACAAATCAGAGTGGTATATATTTAGGTTGCACCATGTGCTTTACTGTGTGTACACACTGTGAAATGATTTTTAACAATAAAGTTAAATAACTCATCCATCACCGCAAAGTGGAGGGTAAGTGCCCGGCATGAAGCAGTCATTTCCAACACACCCATCCCGAGCAGACAGACCAGCTGCATGACGCAGCTCGTAGATCAGCAGATGAGGAACTAGGCCAGCTTCCACCCACAGACAGTCCTTTCAGAAACTTGGGGACTTGGGTAACCTACATACCTGTCTGCTTGAGTGACCCAGTTTCTCCTTTTCCAAGCCCTACTTCCAGCTCATATACTTTAAATTGGCCAACAGAGGTAAACCCTTGAAACCCGACACCGGCTTTCACTCTTTCCCCCCTCACCCTGTCATCCCAGGGGCTCTGCTATCTTCCTGAGGGCTCCCTGAGCAAGCATATAAGAACCACAGGAGCCAACCCAGCCATAAAAGGGGTCCCTGGTGTGGAAGTGTCTGTGGAACTTGTGGCCAGGGAGTGCACTCATCCCTTACTGGGCACACTGCTATCAAATGGCTTGGGGAAACCCCGGGAAAGCTCCTCTTCTAGCAAATTCCAATTATACAACGCGGCCTTCCCATCCCACACAGTACTGTTAAATATAATCCTTACGCTGTGCCTAAGATGCACAGAACTTGCCCAGCTTTCTACTGAAAATGTGTGCCCTTTCACCAGCATCATCCCGCTCCCATCCCCTTCACTCCTGGCAAGCAGTTCTAGGCTTTGCTTCTGGAAGTTTCACTTGTTAAATAGTCCACATTAAAAAAAAAAATAGTCCACATATAAGTGAGATCACACATGATCTGCCTTTCTGTGTCGGGCTTATATCCCTTAACATATATCCCCAGTCTTTATTCATCTGCTGCATACTTTGTTTATCCCTCTGTTCCTTGGAAGTAAGCACATATTTTGAACAGAGCTATCGTGAACACAGAAGCATCACACCAATGTTACCGTCTTTGGCTATCTACCCGGAAACGGGGCTGCTCAATGACCTGGTACTTCTATTCTGAACGTTACTAGGAACTTCCATACGTTTCCAGAATGGTACCAAGTCCCCTTCCCAGCAACAGTGTAGGAGGGCTCTCTCTTCTCCACGACTTTCACATTTAACCTTTGGTCTTTCTACGCTTCACCATCCTCACAGGTGTGAGGTGCATTTCCCTCGTGATTCGTGCTGCTTGGGTATCTTTTCACACACCTGCTGGCCATTTCTAGGTCTTATTCAGAAAAATGTCCTTTCATTCGCCCTGCCCACTTCTTAATAAGGCTGCGGTGTGTTGTTCTCTTTGCTATTCAGTTGTCTGAGTCCCTTGTTTTGGAAAATACTCCACTGTTAGACATATGGCTTGCAAATGTTTTCTCCCATTCATCTTTATTATCTCCTCTGCTGGGCAGAACTTTTTAGTCTGATAGAGTTGCATCTGTTTATTTTTGCTTGTTACCTGTGCTTTTGATGTCATATCCAAAAAAGTCAGTGCCAAGACAAAAGTCAAGCATTTCCCTGTGTTTTCTTCTGGAGGTTCTATGATCTCAAGTCTTAAATATAAGTATTTAAACCATTTCAAGTTAAGTTTTGCATAATGGGTAGGATAAGGGTCCAATTTCATTCATTTGCATGTTTTCCTAGCCATTTACTGATGGGACTATGCTTTCCCCACGGTGTATTACTGGCATGCTTGTCAAATAGCAGTTGACTGTTTCTGAATGGGTTTATCTGGGCCTCTCCATTTAGTTCCACTGGTCTGTTCTGTTGGCACCATACCATTCGTATTATAATGGATCCTGCAATGGGAGTGTGATACTACTTCTTCTGTGTCAAGATAGTCTTTGAGGTTTTTTGTGGCTCCATGTGAATGTTAGATTTTTCTATGTCTATCAAGGATGTCATTGGAATTTTGGTAAGGATTTACAGAGGGATTACACTGAATCCGCACAGCTATAATTCTATACAGAAGATAATTACAGAAGTAAAAACCTTAAGGTTGACTGAAGCGGCAGAAGAAACTGCATGACTAAGCACTGATGTTCTCTCTCACCGGGGCCCATGCACTGAGGAGAGGAAACCGCCGCTTAGGGAGTTTACTGAGACAAGGGCAATCTTACGTGTGTCTGTCTTACGACGAGAGACCTAGGAAGTCTGGGCGATGATGACATTACCTAACAATAAACAGCGTAAGTACAACAGATGTATCTAGGCACAGATGCGTTTTCACCTCAGAGCTGGCCAAGAGCCAAGTCCACAGCGGCACTCAGAAACCACCGAGTCAAGCTGGGATCATGGCTCGAGCCCCGTTTGGCTGGTCTCTGATGGCAGAGTCAATTGAAAGCAACCCATGATTCTGGAACCAGAACCAGAACATGCTGAGAAGCTGATACGCTTCCCATGTGTGAGAATTAAGACATCAAGAGCCAGAGATACAGTCACAGTGAGGTGACAATGAAGAGTCTGCACTCCGGCTTCAGGATGGAAGCAAAGGAACCTAATTCCACACCAGCTAGAGGCCAAAGAGGGCCAGTGTGTGTATGAAGGTGATTTTATCTCCTAAATTTTGTAATAACTCTACTGTGTCTTGACCATCTGTTTCAGTTAACAACCAAAACGAAGGTATAGATAAAAACAGGCATTATTTGTTAACTATCAATTATTTCTTCAAATAAAAAAATTAACACAGCTGCATAAATTCATGAATATGGGAAGAAATTCCACTCCCAACAGAACAAACTCTCCCTCCTTCACTATGCAATAGGATCAAGGTTGTCAAGGAACAGCTTCTAAAAATCATCAGGTAGCACTTCCAAGGATGACCAAAGGCAGCGGCTGAGGAGTAGTAACATGTTTTAGACCTGCATGTTCTCCTATGGCTCGGGTACAATGCCGAGCACATGGGCTGACCCACTTGGGGTGGCTTGGAATGTCAGTCCACACATTCCCACGCGTGACTGCTACGGGCTGAATGTCTGTGGTCCCTAAAATTCTTATGCTGAAGCTCCAGCTCCACCCCTCACCCCCACTGTGACGGTATTTGGAGACAGCGATCGGAGTGACAGTGGAGCACCCTCAAGCCCCAGTCAACTGATGCTAGAAGGCAGAGCAGCTTTTCACACTCCACGCTGAGGGGAGACTGACAGGAAACAGGGGCTTTCGGCAGCTGAATGGCTGGCGCGTGGCAACTGTAAGGGGGCTTTGGGGAGTCACACTGCTGATGAGGAAGGGCGTCTGTGGAGAGCCGCCAGCTCGCACATGCAGGCTCAGCTTGGACCTTGGTTTGTGCACAGCAGATGCCACTGGGTGGGAAAGGCAGCGCTGCCCCTGTGCCAGCCTGCAAATGCCATCTCTCTCTCTGTGTAGACAGATCTTGTGACTGTGGTTTTAACTGTGCGTGTCTGTGTCATGTTCCACAATCAACAGTGAGTGGGAAAGGACCCAGCACCCCTGACTGAGTCAGCCTTGGCCTCCTCTGGCAGGTAATTCTGGCCAGAGGAAGTCATGAGGGGAGGCCCACATGAGAAGGTCAGAGAGCGCTCTGACATGTGAGGATGTGAAAAGAAGGTGGCTGTCACCAGCTAGGAAAAGGACTCTTGCCAGATCCTGACCTCGTGAACCCCTGAGACTGGACACAACCTCCAGACTGTGAGGAAATAAGTTCTTGTCACTTAATCCACCCAGTCCACTGTCTTTGTAATGCTTTGTTAACACAGTGGTAAAAGTAAAATGTAAATGTTAAAATTTTGAAAATAGCATTATTTGCTTTTTAATATTTTATTGTTCAAAATGGTTTCAGATTTGCAGATTGGTGGAGAGTTTCCCTGCCACCTACCTGCACACAGTTCTCCCTATCAGAAGCCGGAAGCTCAAGCCACACAGAGGCGCTGGAGCTGGGAGTAAACTCGGAGGGAAGCCGCAGCCGCCTCTTTCCAGCCTCCCTTAACTAACGGGCACCTCCTCCTCCAGGACAAAAGGCCCTTAAATGGGATGTCTCCAGAAGTAGTTAAGAAGTGTTTTCTTGTTTCTTCTCACTTTTCACTTTTAGAAGTATGGACATGCTGGGATCCCCATAAGTTAAAAGTAGGTATTTTGCGTTTCTAGGGTTTAACTTTCCACGGAAAGGAGAGTGCCACACGGAGGCCTGCCTTCCTCTCCAGCTTTCATGATTCCTCCCAATCTGGGCTTGCCTGTGAGGGTCACACTTACTGAGCTCCCCCCTCCCTGCAGCCCCCGACACCCCTCAGTACTGTTAAATTCTACTCAACCGTCAAAACCCATTTATTCCAATTTTTCAACCCCCACTTTCCTTGTTTACTCCAAGGTATCCATGTGATCAGCAGATCAGAGTTAGTCACTAAATCTCTGACCGTGAACGTTCTTTAGAGCAAGGCCCCGGCGACCAGTACTTCCCCCACACTCCTCAGTGAGTCCTGACATACAGCACATAGATGGCTGACTGCTCGTGGGTCAACGGAGAAGACAGGTCCCAGACAGATGTTCAGTGTGCCCAAACTTACAGCAAACTACCTACAAGTTCGAAAATTGCCAAAATGTGTCCCCATAGGCCCCATGTGACCGGCAGAGACTGCCACTGCTGCAGCTCTTGGCCTTCTAGGGAGCCACTGCTCTGAAGGAAAGCAGATGTTAACGGCACATACCCTCGGGGGCTGTAAGAATCTTCTTGTCTTTGGGCACCATGGCATGCCCAGCATGACTGATGACCCAGATGGGAAAGCGTCTGTTTGTTGCGGAGTACAGGGCCTTCATGTATGGCACATAAAAGGCACAGAAACTTGGGTTACCTGAGAAAAGAAACAAAGGCCTTAGTTAATACACACTAAGCTCACCCAGGACAATGTGTAGGCTGGAGAGAAGGGCCTGCTTCTCACACTTTCCTCTAAAAATCTAGTAACATCTTCAGGTATATGTCAAATTTAATATCCTTTATACTTTAAGTGCAGAAAATTTCTGCACTTGCTTTGTTTTCCAGTAACTTCTTCCTCTCTGTTCCTCAACTTTGGAAGTAGAAGCATCAATCATAAACTGAGTACTAAAGTCATTCTTGAGTATTGTCTCTGCTCTTCAGTTTACCAATAACTCCTTTAACTTTGCTCCTCAAATCCATCTCCACTCTGTTCTCTTTTCTACACTAGTACTGTCACTTCCCACTTCCTGCCACAGTCTGCTACTTTCTCTTTTTTCCTTAGAAGCTGTTCTTTCGAGAACCCAGAGATGTCTTTAAACCTCAGATCAAACCACAATGGTGCCCTCGGTAAACCTGCTCACTGGCTCCCATGGTCATTCAAATAGTGTGATATTTTTAAAACAGCCTTTTCAAGGCCTTCCAAATGTTGCCCACTCTCAGTTACTGAGCTACATGAAAGTGAAGCAGTGCAAAAATCATTCACAAAGACAACTTTATGGACTCTACTAAGTGTGCCTCTATCATTTATCATAAGTACTTATATAAACATATATCATTTGATCTTTTGAGGGAAAGACTACATGGATTACAACTAATGCATAGAGATTTCCCTTGTGTATTTGGGAATACACACTCCTTAATACACAAAAGGAATTTCAGACATGGGTAAAGAGTCAATCTGATATGTCTTTAAAGGGAAAAGATGGTAAAGTAGATTTTCAACCTTGATCATGCCTTCAAAGATCTACCAGGTGATAGCCACCCTGAGCTGTTTCTCCAATCAACTTATCTATTTCTTCATGCTGTGAACATTTCTCCTCTTTGCAATTACATAACATGGTTTTGCCACCCTGATATAATCTCTGTCATTCTTGCGAAATTTCACAGATTTCTCCTGCATCTCGAGCATTTGCTCCAGAGGTAACGCAGCCAAGCGGCCAGGGAACCAGGCTGCCTGGGCTGGAATCTTGGCTTTCTCACTTACCAAGTGTGTGACTTCTGGATAGTTCTTTAACTCACCTGGACCTTGGTTTCCTTGTCCATGAAACAGGGGAAAATACACAGTACCTGAGAACTAAGTGAATCGATATATACGAAGCGCTTAACACTGACGTACGAATGTCAGGCTTTGAACCCGCCGCCAGTATCCAGCCCTGATGGCGAGACCTGGAGCCTTATCCCCTCCTCTCTGTGGTTTTGCTTCTGTTGCGTTCTGACCTAGTGATGCAGGTTCCAATTCTTTTCTGTGTTGGTGCTAGTGTTAGCTTTGCTGAATAGACAAACATGTCCTGAGATGTGTATGATGCACTTTGGTCAGCTGAGTGTCAATGCAACTGGTGATAAGGGAGGAGACAGGAATCAGGCCCGGGCTGGAGCACCTGTGGGTGACACTACTCCGTGTTTTATATTTACATTTTCAATAAATATGGAATGTTTTTGAGTATTGAATATAAAGAAGCAACCTAACTTCTTTCCAATCTATTAGTCAACTGTCCCAAGATTTATTATATAATTCGCTCTTTCTGCATTCATTTGAAAAGTCTTCTAATACTAAATTCTGACATTAGTCTGCTTAATTTTGATTGTAGATAATTCTTTATTGTTTCCTTTTTCTCTCTGCCAGCACTGTATTATTATTATTATTATTATTATTATTATTATTATTATTATTATTATTATTGATGCTTCAGTCAGTAACTGGTAGGAAAACTCCCTTTCCCTACTAACTTTTCTAGGCTGGTTTCATAACCTTCAGAATTATTTTCACCAATTTCAATTCCTAAAAATCTCTTTGGAATTTTGGTTGAAATGTCTTCTCACTTACTCATGGATTTAGAAAGACTGGATAGCACTTTGAAACCAGAAACGAAGATGGTTTCCTCATCCAGACTTTTGAACTTACCAGTAATAATGAAAATCAGCAACTTAGGCCTGGTGGCACTTTGGTCATTGATGAGGTCTGTCCAGGGCCCGCATTTTAAAACCTGGGTTTCGACTCCACAACATAAAACAAATTCTTCATGCACAGGAATTTCTTCTTTGATTTCTGAGTCCATTTCTAATAACAGGGAATAACAAAGAGTCACTGAAAGGTAAAACCTTGAGAATACTACAATGTACAAGGATTTACAAAAAGGCAAATTTTAATATACCTATGCAGAAATACTAACAAGGAGAGACAAGTAATAGGCGGCTACTTAGCTGTTCTGGATTATAGGACTGCAAAAATAAAACAAGCCACAGAGTAAGAAACAGACACATGTCCTTGGCAAAATAAAAGGCTATACACGGGGCCTGAAGCAATGTCCTCAGGCCAGCTTTTCCCACAACTCTCCCCTGTAGCCTGCAGTGGAGCAACCATGGGACCATTTCTGCTTTCCCAGTGAGACCGTGCACCTCCCTCTACCTGGGGAGACTGGCCAGAGTGCCAGTGCAAGTTGGTGGCTTGCCCTTGACCTCTCCCAAGTAGCATTGTAAGGACAATTGTAAAGAGCTCTATTATGTTTTCCCTCTTAGTATTATGCTTTATATTGCATATTAAAGCAATATGCTACTGCATATTATATGCTATTAAATTATGAAATGGGCATGGGGGAAATAGGGTATAAGATAGGATCAAGAATAATATCCTGAATATTCATGATATATACAAAACAGCAGCTCCAAATTCTCCATTCCCATCATCTCTGCTTCTGCCTTCCTGGGGTCTCTTGATAAGACATGTCAGACTTCAGTGATCTCTATCCTCCTCTTCACTGTCCCCCACATTCAGAGCCCTGCAGAGCCCAGAGACTCAGTACTCACACCGCTTTCTCCTCTGACCACTCAGCAAGGTCTGCCTTATCTTTCATGTCCTCTGTGCCCTCAATGTCCTTGGGCTTTTCTGCTCCCAGGCCTTTGCTAATGTTTCCCAACCACTTTCAGCCCCTAAGCTCCAAATCCATCTTTCATTTTCTCCTCTGGAGAAATATTTTTTCTCTGCCAGTTGATATAATGGTGAGCGCTCTGAAGAGACTGCAGGAAAAGGGATTTCTTTCCTCTCTTGGCAGGTTTCTTGAACGCTTTTTTGTCTCTCCTCTGCTACCAGGTAATCATGAGGTCCCTCTAGAGCAGTGAATTCCAGTTGGAGACAATTGTCTCCAGAAGACATCTGTCACTAACTGGAGAGTTTTCATAGTCACAATGGGGGGTGGGGGATTACTACCAGCATGTAAAGGGTAGAGGCGGCCAGGGGTGCTGCGAAATCCTATCATGCATGGGAGAGCCCCAGCCCCCAAAAGAATTATGCAGCTAAAAGGTCAACAGTGCTAAGGTGGAGAAACTGCTCTGGCACCGGGCCACCGGGTCCACTTTCTGCACCATCTGGCTGGCTGCCATGGGCTTGCTTACTTCAGTAGCCCATTCAGGCAGAGCAGCAATGGGCAAGAGTCCCAGAGAGCACAGACTTGTGCCACAGACCATGCTGCTGCTCCAGGCACGCCTTCTCAGCCCACAGGCGCAGGCTGGAGGCCCTGTCAACAGCACTGACCTTTGTCCCACACAACAGCCTGGTACCGCTCTGCCCAGTTCCAGGGGCCTTTAAGCTTGCCGAGGGAGGCCTTGCCAACTCCCCATTTCAGCAATGCCCAGACTTCCTCTGTACCCACTGGCCTCACTCACCTGTGCCCGAGGGCGGTGACTGTGGCGCTCCCAACAGATACCTCATGTCTGAGGCAGCGCCCGGACAAGTCCTACAAACCTTCCCCCCCCTTAGCTCACCTGTTGAGACAGAGACTATGGGCCTCCTTTAGCCAGGCACCCTGGCAAGTTTCTCAACCACCCCTTCTTCACTGAGCTCTAAACCCTGTCCCCAGTTTGGGGTGGCGGGAGGGGGTACTTTCCCTCTGCCCTAGGGCCCTGCTGAGTTCTTTCTGTAAAGTAACCTTAAAGCTTCCTGTTACCATAGCTTAGTAATTACTTTGTTGTTGCTAAAAAATAACCATTTACAGACTTGTGTGGTTTCTGTCTCCTGATTGGATCTGCACTGATAACATCCCTCATGTCAAATCAACTTTCTCTTCTTATCTTCTTTTAGATTCAGCTCAAATCCCACCTCCCACCTGAGACCTTCCCAAGCTTCCAAGGAAGCCTCTTCCTCTGGCTTCATGGTAGTTGTCTTCACTGTAAGCCTGCAGTGGCAAAGGCAGCTGGTCAGCCTCATCTAGCCCTCTGCTTACTGTTCGTGTCATGTCACACGCTCTCACAGCATACAGCTAGGAAATGCACTGCAACGCCACCTGCCCTTGCCACAGTGAACACAGGTAAAAGTGACGCTGGCCAGGACGACTGGAGTGGGAGACTCCACGCACTGATGGTGATAATGAAAATGGTCTTTAGTGAGCAACCTGGCAGCATGAGTCAATATTCACAAGGCATATACTTTGGTTTCGTCATGTTCGGGAATTAATTCTAAATTAAAAAAAAAAAATAACCAATACATAGAAGTCCACTTATAAAGCTGCAGAGATGTGGGCCCTCAAGGGCCACTAAGAGAAGAACAGTTAAGTAGATTATATCACAGTGAACCATTACAATGTATACGCACGCTCAGCATTAAGGCAAGGGTAAACTAAACTAGAGTTGAGCCTGATGACCAACCGTTATGTCCACTGAGACTGCTTTGCTCTGCTGAGCGGTTTGCTTCATCCAGCTGTCTAAAGTTTCTGAAATTTTACTTCTCTCATCTGATGTTATGTTGCCTCTTCCATTTTCTTCATAACGACTTTTGTTGTCATTTAGTGAATTTAGGAAAGGAAAAAAATGAAGCATATATTCCAAACTCTACATGTAACTGGAAGTCCAAAATTGATTTTCTTAAATAAAAACCCTACAGAAATTGAAAAATTCTCATGTAACAGGTAAAGATGCCTCTCCATTCAAAATATATTAATTGACAAGATAAAAGTGCCATGCCCCCTACGCGCCTGGGTGTTTAGTTCACTAGTAAATGTCACTAGCCCAGTCTATAAGACTGTCACAAAACACAGTGTATTTATAAAAGTCTTATGACAGTAGGGTGTTAGGAATATTACATTTATATATTATAATTACATTATGCAAAGTATTAAATTAGAACACTGACAGAGAAGACACTGGCTAAACTTAATACTTTCACCAGGAAAGAAATCAAAGTTATCAACTATATTCAATTCATAAGTACCCAATGTGAAGTAACTGACATCTTGGGAGTTTGGCCACAAAATTAATGACAATTCAAGTATAGATGAAACTCAAGCCCACTTTGTAAAAACTGGAAATCAAATAAAAATATTCCCAACTCTAAAGCACTTCAGCCAAAATCAATTGAGAAACATGGAGTTTTAATATGTGTATTTCTAATTTAGAAATCCCATACAATTGTGCAAGAAAAGCCAAGGAAAATTTAAGGTATGAGAATTCAAAATTTTCCTTATCTAAGAACCCAACGCAGTTCTGTTCTGCAAACAACTGTCAGATTAAGGCAGAATAATGTGCTGTAAACTTATATAGCAGCACTATTAAAACCTGATGGCCCGGCCTACCATCACAGGCTACACGTAATCTTAAATGTTTTGATAGGCAGCAAGATTTGTGCTGGAAAATAATCAAATGTGGACACAATTTGTACAATGCAGGCAAGTTTTACTTGTCTAGGTATAGGTATTCATCTGCTTTCATTAGTGGGGTTACATTCTATTTAATAAGAAATTTTTTTTTCTAATAAAATTTTACACAGTCTATTTGGTATATATAACAGAAAAGGAGCATTTGATCAGTATGAATTTTAGAGAGTCAAATATATTTATTATAAAATCATTCAATAAGAACAATGAGAACAAAAACATTTGAAAGTAGAGTTATAAATGAACTCTTATGTCTTTAGCATCCAAATAATGTCTCTATGTTGTCTATTCAGTAAGTATTTTGCTTTATTTATCCATGTAAGAACTGCAAGTAACAAGCCAGGTAGTCTTCAATTAAATTATACCTGAAAGGGGGTAGTGAGATAATTTCCTTTCAGAGTTAAAGCATTAAAAATATCTAATAATACTAGTATCATTTATCATTTATGTAAGCCATCTATATAAGAAACTTTGAAATTTCTTCAAAAACTAATATAACAAAAATACATATTTTGAAATGGAAGTTGTGGAATGTACTACTGTCTGACAAATAATAGAGTAGACTATGCACTTATATGAATCTGAGTCTTGACTAGCAATTAATTAGAGCTATTTCTAGTCACTAGTACTAAACCAATTTATAAAATCTTTAGTGACTGGACAAGTGGTGATGAAATGTTATAAAACCCATGGAAGAGATACAGAAATGGTAACTGACATCAAAATATAAGTACAGGCCCTCCCTGGTGGCGCAGTGGGTTAAAGCATAGCTCTGAGAATCTAAAGCCTCTTCCGCATGAGTTCGATTCCCACCTGCCCCGGAGGAGATCCACATGGTGTGGCAGACCTCTCCTGACCCGCCCGCTGCTCCCCTCAGCAGTGTACTTCCTCGATCAGCCTGTTCTGTTCCCCACTCTGTCTCTGGTGAAGCCTCTCACCGCCCCTGAGCCTCTGGCCTGTACCCCAGTTCTGTATGCACAAATAAATAAAAATAAATCTTTTAAAAATATATATATATATAAGTACAAACAGCAGGACCTCTAAGTTCTGTTATTTTTAGTTAGCCTTATAAGAAATATTAACATGCTGGTGGTGATCTCTGTATAGTAAATATTTGGTACATAACAGAGGTGAGCCAAAGAGTTATTTTGAATTAGGTTTTTTTTTTAAAGCTTAAAATGTGCATTACAATTATGTGTGCTTGTGCTTTAACAAGGATGGACGAACCTGTTTCTAAACAACTTTCCAATAAGAACAATTAGTTCAGCTAGAGGAAGTATGGAGAAAAAAACTGTTGTTAAAAACACAAGCAGCCACTAAAATAATTGTGCAAAAATTTGTCATTTAAACCCAAATATATTGGTAATAAGTAAAAAACAGACTATGCTTAACTAGATAAAAGAATTATGACCTGATCCTATTATGACATTTTGTTATACTTATGGATTCTTTGGGTCAGGAATTGGAAAGGAGCAAAGCAAAGCTGCTCTATTTCTAATCTACATAGTCTGGGACTTTAGCTGAATGTAACACATTCACTGGGCAGGAGTCACTGGGAAGTGGTCTTATTAAGGTTTGATGATTGATTAGGTTTGATGACTGATACTGCCATCAGAAAGGTTGCTGGCCAGAAGGCTGCCTTCCATGTTCTTTCTACGTGGCCTGGTTTGGCATTGTTCAGAATACAGGTTTCCAGCTAGGTCTTTAATTGTAAGTGGTAGAGTGGGATGAAAGAACACTAGGAAACTTGCGACATAACCCTATTTAAGTTCCAAAACATACAGGTGTGAATTAACATAAATATAAATGCACAAACAATTTTCTTTACAATCTGCTGTAAGATTTATGTCTACTCTATCTTTCTCCAGAATAGCCTATCAGAGGAAGTTATCATTTTCTATCTTGAATTGCCAATAATCTCACCAGCTGCTAAAAAACCACCTTTTTTTGGGTAGTTCATATGGCAAGTACATTTTCATCTTTCTCACTTGCAAGCAGGCAGCAGAGTTAATGGAATAAGAAACTCAAGGCCAGAGATTCTTTGTTATTTGCGCAAGATTATAGAGCCCTTAGGTGAGATCACTGACTTCTACTTGATATTTTCCAGTCACATGTTACTCCCAAAATTTATGCAATAATATAGAATCTGAACAATGAACAGTACACAATTGCAGAAGAAAGTTGGAGTGGGACATGATCAGTCTACAGCAAGACTCTGGGAGACAGTCTCTTGCTCCTACTTAATAAAGAATTATGAAAGTCCAATCGCACAAAAATCTTTAATGACTTCTACATTTTATCTATATTGCTATTTTAATGACTCCCCACTACCACTCAGTAAGTGTCTTTTCTAGCCTGTATATTGGGCCACAAGAACAAGATTATGTGATCATCATTAAAACCCATCGCCATTGCTGAAGAAATATCGAAATCAAAGCAGGTTCCACACTCTCTAAGAACTCGCAGAACGTTTGTCACTTGAAAAGCCCCTCAACTTTTAAAAATAACTCCTTTACTATTACAAAGATTACATCGCATTTTATTTTAATAACACACCCCAAAACGTTAAGTGGGCTAAAAATTTAGCTTCTGGAAAATATCAAGTAGGAGTCAGTGATAAAGAAAACAGAAAACCTCAATGGTTTCCCCAAAATGATGCCGTCTAAATACAAGGGAATAAATACCGTTTTCTCGTGGGCGCCACAGAGAACTATTAAATCAAGTTAAGGAAGTGTCGAATTTAGAGACTGGTCTAAGAGGTACCTGTGTAACGTAACAAATTTGGGAGAGGTGTGGGGAGGCCACTGATCCTGCTGAAAAACCAAGTCCAACCCAAGTGAGCCCCTAACGATCCCGCGATGGACGCGCGGGGAGCAGAATGACTTGCCCGGGGCTATGGGAGGCTTAGCAGGTGCAAGAACTGAGATCTCTGGAGTCCCCGGTCGAGACGCGGGTGCCTCCTGATCGCTTCGTCCCGGAAGCTGCCACAGACCTGGATCCTACGCCCCAACCGCAGTAAGTCTCCCTACAGCGGCCTCAGTTCACACTGCCAAGGGGAAATTCCAGCGCTCAGGGGACCGACCGGGTGCACAAGCACAGGGATTCCGGGCAGTGGCTCCGAATCGACGAGAAGTTGCAGCGCCGCGGGCGTGGGCCAAGGGCAGCAGGGGCTCGGCCCCGCGAGTGCCCACGGGGTGAAGGGATCGGGCTCCCGCGCAGTCCGGAGCACCGCGGCCGCCGCTCACCTGTCCGCCTGGAAAGCGGCGGGTTCTCCTGTTTCAGTCTGAGAGAGGCGTCACCGCGCAGGAAGTCCCGCCCCCTGACGTCACAGCGCCGCGCCGGGGATCCGGCGTCCTGAGGTGGCGCCGGGCGCCGCGCTTGGCAGGTGCTGGACCATGGCTTGGGACCCGCAGTCCACAGTGAGACCCCGGAGGTAGCTGTTCTGGAACTTTCTCTCTCTTTCACCCGTGAAGTCAGCCTTAATAGGCTTCGGATTTTCCTTGCTCTGTTTCTCCACCTTATCCCTCGGCTTTATTTTCCCTTCCTCTATTACCCGTTGCATCTTCTTCCTTCTCTTCCCCATAGGCACAGAAAGGTCGCTTTCCAGATGATATTGTTTATTAGCGTTAGGATGGCCAACCTCTGCAACTCCGCACTTAGAAAAATAACGTATTTACTGCAAAAATAACGTATTTGCTGTAGGGTATTGCGAACTGACCACACCTTAACTCCATGAAGAGTCGTCTTGTATGTTGTCTGTCCTTAGCGGCTGGCACATAGTCGTACTCAGTAGATATTAGTACACTGCAAAAATGCAATAGTGAACATGATACGGCTTTATAGCCAGGGGGAGAAGTAGACTGGCGAATCACCCATGCAGGGAAAAAAAGCCTTGATCGTTTCTTTGCAACAGAAGTGGTCAGCATCCAGCCAGGTGTGGAAATCAGACTAATACACGTTCATCATACTTTCCAAGTTTTCAGTTTTATTTCCTACATATGAAATGGTCAACGAGTTTAAGAAAAGCCACTCAACTGCACTAAGAGGCCTTCATGAATTAACTCATGTTTAATCCACACAGGAACCCAACTAAGTTCAGTATTGACATATGATCATAAAGTCTGGAAACACAAATACACAAAGTTATTACACTCCAAGGACATTACATGATATAGTCAAGGTGTTTCTCATTACGTATGCACAGCTCAATGTGTGCAAAATTCCAATCACTGTGGTTTACTAACACAACATTACTTTCAATCCTTGCAAGTGCATTCCTTGGGCCTTGGTGAAATGATTTATGCCTGTGATTTCATTCAGAAATATTAACCAAGAGGTTCCAATCTTTAATAAAAGTTATCTTCCCAGATTTATCTACTCTGCATTATTATCCCCATTTTACACACAGGTAAAATGAAACAGAAATGAACTTGCTCAGTGATCACTTGACAGAGGGAAGGCTTTGCTACTCTGTATTTCACATTCTGCTTAGATGAGTTGTCGCTATGTGGTAGAAGCACTTATATTTCTACACCTAGACACTTTCAGTATCATCCTAATTGCTTTCCATTCCTTCCCTCTACCCTTGCTATTGTACAGAATTCTTCCGGATATGAGTAAGCAGTGGAAATGGGTTATGAAAAATAGTTGTGAGTCCAGGAAGAATTCTTTCTCCATCTCTTGCTATGAGATGCGTAGAGCTTGTATCAGCCTATTTGACTACCCTGCCACCATCCTGTGAAAAAGAAATAAGCCTCTGTGATAGTTTTTGGTAGTGTTACTGCAATACAGTGTAGCTTCTCCTGAGTGATACAGAGGGATAGACACACAGGGAGATGCTTTTCTCTCACTCACTTGATTGCAATTCTAAATACCCAGGGGAAAATTTCCGGTTGGCTAGGCCTGGATTTGTTTTCTAGCAATGGTTCAATTATCAATGACAACAGCTAGGGGTCATATTGTACCTGTACAGTAGGGCCCTCAGCTACAGTTAAAGGGGTCACTACTGTAAGCACATATGGCTGTAAAATCAGACCACATCAATCTAAAAGCAGTGTATAAAAAATGAAACATTTTACTTTTGACAAATATTTTGAAGTTATTATTCATTCCATGTTTATGGACTGCCTGTTACATTCTAAACACTCTCTCAGGCACTGAGGATACAAAAGCAATCCAAAGAGAAAAAGCCTTCTCAGAAACACAATAAAATCAAGTACTTTAACATGCAGTGATAGTGGAAGAGGAACTAAAAGGCAGAGAGGCATTAATTGGTGACCTACTTTTGTTTAACAAACTATCCCAAAACACAGCTGCTTAAAACAGCGAACATTTGTTATCTTACACTGTTTCTGAGGGTCAGGAGTCTCAGAGAAGCCTCGCTGGAAGGTTCTAACTCAGGGTGGACGGTGTAGTCAAGCTGAGACATCTCAGAACTCCATGAGGCTAGAATGATGTGCTTGTTGGCTGGCCACTTTGCTCACTGGCTGATGGCCAGAGGCTTCGGGTCCTCCCTGGAGCTTCCTGCGACTGGGCAGCCAGCTTCTCGACAGGAGCAGAGCTGAGCACGAGAGGAGGGCAGGAGGGTGCACTCAAGAAGGACATCACAACCTTTTAGAGTCAGTCTTAGGACTGTTGTACCTCTGTATGGCTTATCACTTCTGTACGCTGTACACTGTCTGTAGGCTACACAGGGCCCAGAGTTGGCAGGCAGGCGTCACTGGGGATCGTTTTGGAGACTGGTAGCCAACCACAGGTACATCATTTTGTATGAAGAGACCAGCAACAGTCCTCTCTTAGGAGGCAAATTGGTGAAGAGATTTGCATGAAGAGAAGAAATAACTGCAGGATAATGTTAATGAGAAAGCTGCGGCCGAAGACTCCAAGCCAATGAATCTTTCACTTTCTGAGTCTTGGCTCACTTTCTGACCAGCCATAAAACAATCATCTGCTCCCTGACACACTCTCTCTGGTGTTGTTTTCAGCTGTTATTTTATTCCTACAGGGGATTTAAAAAACTTTTAAACATTCTTCTCTAAAACTGTAAATTTTAGTTAATGCTTCTAGTTTTAGGGGTAAGGTAAGACATTTCAAGTAATTGATTTGTAGTCAAGTTAAAATACTGGCTTATTATTTTATTTCCCAAAAGTAAATAGCTGATTATTGAAATTGGATGTAGTTATTAGTGAAAAACGCATAGAGGAGTGTGTATGGTGCCTTTGGTTGTATAAGAAGCTGAGCATGTTTCCATCTGAGAAACGGAATAGAACAGATGTTATGGATGATAGTATCGCCGTTGGTTAAGGAAAACTAAAACCAGTGGCTCGGCATTTGTCTGTTGTCCAGTAATTACGTCCTCCCTTCAAACAGTATTTATCCTTCCCCAGGAAGCCCCTGGGTCTACAGAAGGTTTCTAGATAGACTCGATGGACTTAATCGAAGACTTTCCCTCACCTTGGTCGTTGACTCCAGGGTCTGTGAACCAAGCCTGCTCTGGCGGGGTGAATCCTGGAAAGCTGTGGGGCCCTGACCCTTTCGCCTTGCAGTCTGTGTGATAGGGTGCCTGAGGCACAGGTTGCCTCCATGATGCCCACATGGCATTGAGAGGGTCACAGAGAAATGCGGCAGCGTCCTGACACACCACCAGGAAGTCAGTTACACTCTGAGCTTCCTAGTTGCTCAAACCAAGAAAACCCTATGGTTGTGCAAGTCAGTTTCACTTGTGGTTTGCTATTTTCATCAGATGACCTCCAAATGATACCTTCTGACCTGCTCTAGGAACCTGGGAACTCACTATAAAAGCATTCAGAGTAGAATCCCTTCTCACCTCCACACAGATTTTAGTGGCAGAAAAATATGGGAGATAGAGTTCAGTAACTCGATAAATTAAAATAGTAGGAATTGGGACTAGCTACGGATGACTGACCCTTTAGAGTACAATATGTCCCCATTTTATTGGATTCCTCAGAAACGAATTGCTTTGTTCAACAGTGTTTTTGTAGCCTAGTTATACTACAACAAACTTTTGCAAATGATTCCTTTTTACTTTTTTAATGGAGACTTTATATTCCCCAGTAAGGTGAGATTGGAATTTCTCACAAATCCAAGCATCATATTATCCATTTACCTATCTCTCCCTACAGAAACATCCATGTCCTGATCCCTGAAACCTTTGCATGTGCTGCATTGCATGGCAAAGAGAACTTAGCAGATGTGATCTTAATCACATCTGTGTTAAGGATCTTGAGATGGGAAGGTTATCCTGATTTATCTAGGGGGCCCAGTGTCTCATGTAGAGGGAAGTGAGAGGGGCAGAGTCAGAAGAAATATGTGAGCAGGGAAATGGAGAGAAAGTGGTGCAGGCGACAGGCAGAGGCAGAGAAGACACAGCGTTGCTGCCGGTTTCATGGTGGAGGAAGGGTCCAAGACCAAGGAATGCAGGCAGCTCGCTGTTGGAAAAAGCAAGGAAATACATTCTCCCCTAGACTTTCCATAAGAAACAGAGGCCTGTCACCACCTTGATGTTAGCTCAGGGAAGCTAATTTTAAAATTCTGACCTCTAGAACTACATGTGTTGTTTTATGCCTAGGTTTGCAGTTACTTGCTGCAGTCACAATAGGAACTAGTATTTCAAGTTGAGTGAGGATTTCAATTCTTTGTCTCTCAAAGCCGAGAGCAGTGTTAGCTAGGTAGATACTAGGTGTTACTGAAATACTAACTTCTTCCTTCTACCAAACACAACAGAAGCCTGTTTCTCTTCAGTACATCTCTGTTTTGCTGTTGGCCAAACGTTCCTGTTTCATGTGACTCTGGCAGGTATTTAGTCCTGACAGAGGAAGCTAATTGACTCAATGAACTTTTGTTTCCCTGTACTGCTGGCCTTCCTTTGGTCTTAGCCATGCGTGTTAGTTTTTAAAGTTTATAGTTTAAAAATGCGTTATGTTATGACCTTATAAAATCGCAAAGACCTCCTATTCTCAGTTCAAACCAACCAGAGTCACATTTGTTTTGTGCTCTCATTAGCAGCATTAACAAGGCCCAGGCTCCTGATTTAGCTCTCTCTGAATTATTCATTAGCAACGTTGCCTTCCACAATCCTGGCACCACACCCAACAGAGGAACTAAACTGTGTCCTCTTCTCTGGTTTCCGATGGTCTGTTAAACTTTTGCTTTCTCGGCTTTAGATGTCTTTAAAAGAGCCTCACACTTGACTGTCTTCATACTCTCGTTTCTGAAAAC